GATCTTCGAAAGGTCGTAGTTCCCATATCAATAAGGAGAGCATCGGCCAAGAAGCCTTGTTTAAAGTATGAATATTTTTCCTCTCTAATAAGGTATAATCTCTGTGATGGATTCACAAAACCTATTTTATCTCTGCCTTTCTGATGACATACAAATATAATCTTTATTTGTGAATATTTGTTAATTAAGCAATATATCAGAGAGCGTGTAGGGTTCGGTGTTTTATGAACGAAAAGGACATGAGCAGTTTAAATAGCGAACGCATACCAACGAATAACGCTAGTATCTATATAACAAATTTATTGTCCTGTGGAGTTGATTTAACTTCCAGACACATTTTGTTTAATAAATATTAAATATTTAGTGACTGTTTATGAAAGATATTATTATAAATACACATTCTACTTCTTAATATCACTAATTAAATTTGCGACAATTTGAGCCATGAAATGTGACGACTGGATCACTGTGTACAGGAGGCTGATATGGCAGCAAGCACTCTCCAGGCAACCATATATCTTGGATAAGTCGCTCCACAAAATTGTCGCTTGGGCCGTCGACTTCCTATGGCGTCACGTGCCACATATTTACATCTAATTTTGTTATCAAATTAGATTATTTCAGAGTAAAAATAGGTTTGATCATGTTCTACGTGTGGCACCAACATTATAGTAAGTAAATATACCATATTTCTTCATTACTTACGTAATGCTAGGAGGATTTGGGTACTTTTGGGTAGATTTGGGTAATTCTATAGACCCATTCCTCCAGCTGCAGCCCAGTCCACATATAGTCCATGTGTGTAAGACACCTTGTGTGTGTGTATTTATATATATATATATATATGTATATACTTTTTCTATCAGAAGGGGCTCCGTTCCCTTCGCTGTTGACGAGGCGCTAGGGGAGCAGCTTGCTCTGTTGACTCTCGCTTGGTCCTGCAGTTAGTGGGTGTATTTTTGTTGTCTTCCGGCCTCTGGTGCCAGCGGACGGCTTCTCCCCCTTTGGGGGGTTCGGGGCTGGCAGGGTGGACATCTTCCCCTGCGCTTCGTCATGTCATCTTAGTGGGTGCGTTGAATGTGGTCGATCCGCCCCATCCTTCTGGGGTTCCTGTCTGCTCTATGCACACACGGGCCTGGTGGATCTGTAGTTCTTCTGGACTTGTTCAGTCTGCGACCTAAATTCTATGCCCTCATCGGGGGCCTATTGTCTCCACTCCGGCTTCTGTTGGGGCCGGGTGCTTGGATGGTGGCCCTGGACCTCCAGGTCACTTCTTGGCACTTTTCTCTCCAGGTTTCCAGGACTGGCACAGTTGGTGGTGGGGCTTCAGACTTGTCGCTTTTGTTGCCTTCCCTATTTTGTAATTGGCACTTGGTGTATTTATGCATCATTACCGGATCTTGGTGCCCTGTCTGAGTCTGCTTGGGATTTGGTGTCTGGCCTACCTCGACGACTGGCTGGTGTGGGCTCCCAGTCAGTCTGCTTGTCTGCTCGCCAAGGCTGTGGTTCTTTCTAGATTCCCGGGTCCAGTTTCATGGTGATCTGGAGGTCTTTCCATCTGTTTCCGTCCCAGGTTCGGACCTTGCTGGGTCTTGTTTAGGGCTCTTGGGCCGCTCCTTGTTTTTCCCTCCTGAAGTGTTGCTGCGGCTGTGGTCCTGCCTTCGGCTGTTTATGAGGGGGGTCCCAGGTTGCTCGGTGGTTGCTCAAGCGGTTGTGCGGGAGTCTGAATTTCGGCGTGCTGATCTGCCCGCAGGGTCGGCTTTGGCTTTGGCGTCTGTTTGGTTCCTTCGGAGACTCCCTTTCTACTTCTCTTGCAATCGTTGGGTTCGTCCTCAGGGGATCTTGTGTTGGTGCTGCGTCACCAGCTTTCTCTTTGGGGTTTTCAAGGTTCTGTGCCTTGGCACCTCCCCGAGCCTTCGCTCGATGTGTTATGGACGGGTCATCTCTCGGCTGGGGCTTTGTGATCAGTGCTCACCAGGTCGGCCAGGTATGGTGGGGCCTTTCCGTCCGTCGAGCTCACAGCACAGTTCGGGAGTTCATGGCTGTCTGGTTTGCGCTTCGGAGGGTTCGGGTCACTCGGTGCTCTACCATCCAGCTCCATTCGGACTATTCTCTGGCAGTTCTTTACCGGAACTACAGGGTTTCTCTTGGGTGTTTGACTTTTGGGGTTGGTCCCTTCGAGTGGCTCGTTTGCTGGATTCTCGGGGTTTGGCTAACCGTGAGTTTCTTGTCCGGGGTGTGTCCTACGGCTTGGCGGACAGCCTGTCTCGGTTCATTCCTCTGTTCGTGGATTGGCCAGTCGTAGCCGACTCGTTTTGTTGGCTCTGCCAGACGTATGGACTCCTGGCCATGAACATCTTCGCGTTGGCATGGTCTAGGCGTCGCCCATTCTATGTGGTGCCCTTACCAGCCTGCGAGGCGTTCACGGTGGATACCTTTCGGCAGGACTGGTCAAGGTGGGGGTACCTGTTCCTCTTCTCCAGGTCCAGCTGTTGCTTCGGGTTCTGGTTCGATTGGAGTTCATTCCCGAGGAGAGTAGTCCTCATGGTCCCTTGGTGGACGGCCCAGCTTTATTTTCAGACGCTGTTTGATAGGTGTCCGAATCCGGGGCGTATTCCCTCGGCTCCGCCTCTTTCTACAGGTCGGACGGTCCTGTACGTGACTGGTTTGGCTTTCTCCTCGGCTCTTCACATCTTTTATTTTGACGCGGGTATCACCATCTCTATGGTGATCAGGTGGCTTCATTGATGGTGTCCCACCTGCGAGTTTCATCTCGGCGACAGTATGACGTTCCTGGTGTTTCTTTGCACCTTTTTTCTTGCTCTTCGTAGGTTGTCTTCTCTTTCGCATCAGGTTGTCTTGTCCTTTCTTGGGTGTTCAGGACTTCGGTTATTTGACGTTTCTTACTGTCGCATTTTCTTGTGTGGCGCTGGCGGAGCCACTCCGGCTTGCGTTCGGGGTGGACGTCACAGCTGCCCTGTTCTGTACACTTTCTCGTGTTTTGTTTTGCCTCCGGCCTGCTCATGTGTCGCCTGAGTGTTCCTGGTCCTTGATCAGGGTGCACTCTTGTCATCTTCTCCTCAGTTTGTGGTAGCCCCTGCGGTTCAAGTTTGGTTTTTATAGGCCATATTTTGTTCGCATGGGCCTCTGCGAGTCGGGTCGGGGAGCTTCCAGCTCTTCCGGTGCAGTTGTTTCTGCTCTTTGGTACTGTTGGTAGGTTTGTACGTTTGCAACCTTTCTCCGTCTTTCTGCCGACGGCCGAGACGGCTGCTTTCCAGAGGATGTCCTTGGGTTCTTGATGCTTGATTGGTTCGGCCGGGGACGCATCCTGTGTTGTCCGGTTGCACCTCTTTGCCATTACCTGCGTACCGTGTCTGGGGATGCGCTTTGGGTTATCCGGTTCCCCTCATTCCCTGTTTGGGGCTTGGGTCTCCCAGGTTGTTCGCAGCGTTTTTAAGTCTTCCAACCTGCGGTTTAGGCTTGCGCCCGTGCTGTTCGGACGTTTGCAGCTTTTGCTGCTGTGTTGGTGACGTCTAGGGCTCATTTCGGGCGCAAGGATTTGAGGGTCACATAGGTTCCTGGCCGCCCGTTCTTTGTGTGCGTGTCTGCTCCTGTGCGTTCTTGTTGCCTTGGGTCGCAGGTTGCATCCTGTTGTGTTGGCTTCGCATTGCGGAGTTTGTGGCGGCCGCCTCCCGGGTCAGCCCTTTCTTTTCCTTCCTGGGTATGAAGGTCCAGGGAGCCGGAAGGTCTTCCCACAGAAAACCAGCGTTGAATGTAATGAAACTCCATTTTCTGGGTGAGCCCCGGAGGCTCTCTGGCAACCCTCCCTCCCAACGGTCAGCGGTTTTTCGCGTTGGTTGAAGCTTGGCTTCCAAACTGATGCTAGGCAGCCAGCGCGGTAAGGACCGGGGCTCCCCCTCCCCCTTTCGGGGCGGGGAGGGCTGTGCGGACTATCGGCGTGGCAGTAAAGTGTGATGTTTGCTTGTTTGCTTGTTTCCTTGGGATTGTAGGGAGTTTCTATCTCTCTGTTCGGTTTTCTGTTTTAGTTTTTTACCATGTGGGGTTTGTTTTGTTATGCCTACCTTTTTGGGTGCCTAACCCCGGTCGATGGCAGATAAGGAAATTCCCAACCACAAAGGGGTTTTCCAGGGCCATTGCTCCCTGAAACCTCTCTGAAGGGACCAGGTTCTGGCGCTGGTCCCTGGTAGGTCTGAACTCCTTAGCTAATGTCCCGGTCTAATATAACATACATTAGCTCGATAAGCTCCAGGGAGCCTCCGGGGCTCACCCAGAAAATGGCATTTCATTACATTCAACGCTGGGTTTTTTTTAGATCTTCAATTTCTTTATTCAGTGAAAGTAGTTTTCCTTCATGAATCTTTAGTAGATCCTTAAATTTCACTAACCAGCCCTCAAAAACCTCAATTTCTTATTTCTTTCTCAGAGAAACCCACAAAATTATTGTGTTGATGTTAGTTCAGTATCTATTTCATTGGCCATTTTATTTGTTTGGATTCTTTGTCTGTTTCTGTGTGACAGACCTAAACATTTTCAAATAATCGTCACTTTCCACCTTTTATAATTGATTTTGGTATTTTTATGATTTCTGGGACATCACTTGCAAACCTCTCACCCACACTACTACCTAGATAAAGATGTGTTAATCCTTCAGCCCCCTTTGATGTGTGATCATGTGACAGTTGCTCGTTTTAAGGGTTAATATATTCCATATTAAGTCTAGGAGTTTAGTCTCTTAGATTATGTTGACCACAGCTTCAACAAAGTGGCTTATGGAAGCTTCATTGTGCAATCTGAAGTTAAATCTTCATAGTTTCTAACAGTGGTTATATAACGTTAGAAAAAATGTAGGGTAGTGGTCTGTTGTCTCATCAAGATAATTGTCAAATGAATTATATACCTTTAGAGTTTAATGTTTTTTAAGGAATAACATATCATGCATTTAGTCAAAATGTGGTGGACCTATATATGACTTTTTACAGGTAAAGAGGTTTGCTGAGGCTTTCTTCGTTATTGATAATCCACGACCATCAGCAAGTGGGTGCTATGATAGCAATTACCAAAACTACGTTGCAGTATCAGAAGCAGTGAGACGTTCTCGTTACTTCAATCTCATGCCACCACTTACTATTGAATGTACTGAGGTAAGATTCCTAAGCAATTTTCAACCTGATGGATGATCTTCTTAACCCATTGTTTGCAGCAACCCAAAAATGTTGTTCCCACTAAGGGCTGAATAAAAGGCCTATTTGTTTTTCAGAGAAGGCCTTACCAGTTGCTCCCCAATTCTATAACCATGACTCATACAAGACTTGAGGAACACACCAGGACTTTATAACCTATGAGCACCTACTGGAGACCAAGACAAGAATCTGGCCCTTTCAAAGTGGTGACTCTCTACTCCTTACCTGAGGAGTAGATATCACCATAGTACCAAGAAAATCCAACCAGAAAACAAACCTATTCCTAGAAAAATAGTTCATTTGGCATTCCTTTGCTTGGTATTATTCTGTATTTTGCTTCATGTGTGTTCTGTGCACCCACCATGCATGTTCCCTGAGTTATCACTTCGGTTTGTCTGTGGAAGCTAGGGTTATCATCCTTCGTAGCCAGCTTGCTTTGGGCCTGGATATTTAGGTTTATCTTCCCTATGGGGTTTGGGTTGATTCCTCTACAAGTTGCTTCCTCAGAAGGTATTTCACTTCTGGGTAGTGCATAAACTTTGGGACTTTGGGCCCTCTGAATACTAGTTTCCAGCAGTTTGCTAGTGTGCCTTTGTCTCTTGTTCTTGGAGCTCTATTCCTGATACTTTAGTAAAGAGTGCATATGGGTAGTGTGAGTGACCATATGTTCCTGGCAACCTACGCCTCCAGTTGCAGAGTGATTATAAGGTCGGAAGTGGGTGTATCTATTGCTGAGATGCTCCCTGTACCCAGACTTTATACTAAGGATAGTTAAACACCAATTCCTTCCTCAGCTCAAGTCCTCCATATATTTTTGTTTGCCTCCAAGCCTTAAACTACTGGGCATGGTTTTCCAAAGTGCAAGATGGTGCTCTTGGTTTTCAACAATCACGCCTGTTTGTCTCCATCACTCCATGTGTTTGGTTCAGTAATCCTTTAACTTTCTGGTGTGCATTGTGAGTGTCTGTAGGTCTTTGGTTTTCTCCAAATCTGTGGCTTACCAGGTGGAAGCTGTGCAATTCCATTCTGATTCCATTTTTGGCAACCTCTTTTTGGACCAAGACATTAGGGGGATAAATCCTTTTCTGTGGGGAGCCCCGTTGGCTCCCTGAAGCTATCCGAACTGATATGTGCTATATTAGTTTGGGATCATCAGTCACAGAAGTCTTTTTGTGAGACCACAAGCCAGAACTTGGCCTCCCTCAGAGTGATGCAGGAAGCAATGGCCTATGAGCACTTTACATATAAAGTACTGTATGTCATAATTGCCATCGACCGGGAAAGGCACCCAGAAAGATAGGCAAAATAAAACAGACCACAGTCTGGTAAAAATTGCGACCTACATCCGAAAAGAGCAAAAGAACTCCCCCAGAAAGAAAATATACAAGCAACACTTCATACAGGTTCAGGTTCATACAGGTTCAGTGTCAGAGTAGTTAATAAATGGAATGCACTAGGCAGTGATGTGGTGGAGGTTGACTCCATACACAGTTTCAAATGTAGATATGATAGAGCCCAGTAGGCTCAGGAATCTGTACACCAGTTGATTGACAGTTGAGAGGCGGGACCAAAGAGACAAAGCTCAACCCCTGTAAGCACAATTAGGTGAGTACAGGTAGCACTCCCACTCGTTAGCAATACCCCCCGAAGGGGGGAAGGGGAGCCGCCCACCACCCCAGTTCTTGAACTGATGTTCTGACTGTCAGATCGGTCAACTCTGGCCTCAAGTTCCTCTTCTGGATTTTTCCTGTGTTGCTGTTTCAGCTGTGTGTTGGTGTGTGGCCAGGTGTCTTAAGTGTACAGGAGCAGGATGTGCCTAGAGTAACTTTCCCTAGGTGCTCCGTAAGTACTGCCCTTGTGTGTCAAGGTAATCTTTCCTGGGGCCTTCAGAAATCACTCCCTGTTTGTAGACTTCGATGTTTGACGTTGTCTACGCCCTTGGGGTACGTCAGGAGTTTTGGACTTTCCGGCTTGCCCGGGGTAAGAGTGTTATTTGCTTGGAGGGGTGCACTGGGACTGGCACAGCTCGCTTTACTTCAACATAACAGCGATGTTTGTCTCTGACTGCCAGTTTGTTTGTTGTGTCTTTGGGGGTTTTGTTTTTCTTTTCTGGCAGTTTTACCTTTTGTGGACTGAGGAGGTCTGCCTAGCTTCTTATTAGGCTAGCCTAGGTTGTGTTGGTTGTCCTCTGTTGCTCCCGAGGTTTCACAGCTGCTACTAGTGGTCAGTTTGCCTTCTGTCTGACAGAGTTCTACCGGCTTAGCTGGCCCCAGTGCCTGGGCTTCCCATAGAGCTTATTCATTCTTCGGGCACCTGGAAAACCCCTGTGGGCCTGGTGGTACCATGGGCCCTTCTGCTTTCTGGGCAGGGGTTATTGCTACGGGGGAGGGGGTTTTGTACCCTCCTTCCCTGTATGAATTTGAATTGGGTGTGGCTTCCCCTGGGTTCGTTTCCAGGTGCCCTTGGGTTCCTCTGATTTGTCCTTCTAGAGGTTTCTTTCCTCTTGGATTTCCCCTGGGGAGGTTTGGGAGGCCCTTGGTGCATACCTCCTGCGAGACTCGGTTTATGCCTCTGTGATGGATCCGCCTTTGTTTGAGTTTGGTTCTTCTTCCCTTTATTGGATGCATTATGAGGTTCTTGAGTCTTCCTGGCTGGCAAACTGCCCCTTCTTCTCTCTGGGAGCTTGACGTGACTTTTGTCATACCTGCAATCTTCAGTGGCGGGAGGTCACTTCCTCCTGCCATTTGAATTTCACTTCAACCCTGCATTTCCTCATGATGTGGGGTCTGGTGCAGTTGCATGCTCAGGTCCCCCATTCTTTCGACTGTTTAGGCCTCTGTTGACCTGCGAACTCGTTGTCATTTGGCCTCAATCTTGCTCTTCTCTGGCTTTCAGAGTATGTGGGGGCATTGATTGAGGGGCCTTTGGCTGGGGTTTTGGTTTTGGCTGCTGTAGTGTCATCTGCCCTGCTGAAGCTGTTTGCACCAATCCTCTGGGAGGCGGTTTCCATGTTTTTCACCTCTCGTCTCGTGTGTTGGCAGGCCGTGCTTGCTCTGTCTTTAGATTCGGCTTGGGCCCTAGCTCTGCAGTCTTCTTGGCCGTTTTGTCCTCTGTTGTTCTCTGAAGACACCGTTGCCCAGTTTCTGTCGGCGGCTTCAACAAGTTGCCGTCCTATCTCAGACTTATTGGTGCTCCGGTGGGGTCGTTCCAGGACCTCTCAGTTGGGTCGTGCCAGGGCTTGGGCCTTGTTTGCTTGGGGTAGGCCTGTGTTGCCAGTTATTACGTCAATGAGTTCTCCGGGGCTTTTGTCGTCTGGTCGGCGAGGTGTTCGCTCTGTGCATTGGTTGGCTTCTTGGCTGGCATTTTTGTGGATCTCCCCATTGAAAGGGCGATAGGGGTGGGAGGCTGGCTCTTTTTGGCCATGCTTGGTCCCGCGATTCGTGAGTCTTTCGGGTCATTTCTTCTGGCTTTTCATGGCATTGTTGCCTTAAAACTTTCGCACTCTTTTGACTCCTGTGTAGTCAACAATTTTTCTCCTGAGTCCTCTCGGATGACTCTTCGATGCGTCAATCATTTTAAAATATTTGTTAAAAATTTAAATTTTATCCGATCAATCTGGGAGTGGTTTTAAAATGAGTACCTTTAGAGTGCTCACAATTTGATACAATATTGGTGATGTAGTCTGACAATTGAGGTCAGAACACTTCAAAGATTATAAATACTTTTGTGGTTCAAATTTTAAAATATTTTTTATAATTCCACTTATTGTGCTATTATTATGGGACTAGTTTTAAAATACGCACCTTTATATTGCAAACAATTTGATACCAAAATGAAAGACGTAACACGAAAATTGATATTATCAAACTGAACGAATATACACATTAGGTTGCGGTGTGCCAATTGGTGCTCTTTCACGGGTAACTTTAGGTTTTGCTGCGGGAAGTCGTGCCAGGCTTTTGGACATTATTTGCATATACACCTGCAGGGAATTTAATTGCGAACACAATGATACCAAAACGAACGATATAGCACGTGAATTAAGGTGAGAAAACTGAAACAAGTATACATATTTCGGTGTCGCCACACACTCGCCCACACGCTTGCCCGCACCGCCGGGAGCATGATGTCAAAGTCCGCGGCGCACATGCTCCGTTCGCGAAAGTGTTACTTTCATATTTGTTTCCTTGTTGGGGGGTCGGGTCTTGGAGGGCAGGCCTCTTCTCTGTCTCACTGTCGGGTCTTCTTGGAGTGGCTTTGTTTGAGCATGGGCGAAACGACCTCATCTCTCAAGTGGGTTTTCTGCTTGTTTCCAGTTCTGAAGAGGAACTGTGCAGATCTCTGGTACATTCTGGACTCGTCTTGTCTGAACTGGTTAATTTCTTGCCCATCTTTTTGGATGACCACGTTGTTCCAGGTCCAGCTCATTCTTGAGTGTGTGCTTGGATGATTTCTCTGGACCTCAGGGACACTTATTGGCATGTCCCGATTCATCTGGGGGATCAGGGATAGTTTGGGGTTCGTCATGAGGGGACAAGCTTACGGCTTTCGTTGTCTTCCGTTCGGCTTGAATCTGGCACCTCACATTTTCACGGACTAAACTCGGGTCCTGGTGGCCCATCTGCATCAGGTGTTGGCCTACCTCGACGATTGGATGGTGTGGGCTCCCAGTTGATCTGCTTGTCTGCTAGCCAGGGATCTGGTTCTTTCCCAGCTTGCCAGGTTCAGGTTCCTGGTGAATTTACAGAAGTCTCAGTTGGTTATGTCCCAGGTTTGAACTTGGCTGGACCTAGTGTGGGATTCTCGGACTGCACCCATTTCTCTCCCTCCTACAGCTCTGCTCCAGTTGCAATCCTGCCTTCAGCTGTTTTTAAAAGGACCTGGGTCACTCAGCAGTTGCTCAAGCGGCTGTGCAGGAGCCTGAACTTAGCTCTGTTGGTTTTTCCTCTGGGCAGGGTTTGGCTTCAGAGGCTATTCTGGTATCTTTGGGGTGGCCCTCTTTCGCCGCTCTCGCGATTGCTGGGTTCGTTCCCTCGGTGTCCTTACATCGTTGCTGCATCACTGGCTTCCTCTTCGGGTTTTTCAGGGTTCGGTGCCATGGCGCCTTCCTCGTTCCTTGCTTGATGTGTTCATGGATGCCTCATCTCTCGGTTGGTGCACTGTGACCAGTGCTCACCAGTTCGGCCAGGGGCATTGGGGGCTCTCTTAACATTGGGCTCACAGCACAGTGTGGGAGTTTGTGGCGGTGTGGCATGCGCTGCGATGGATTTGACTTCTTTAGGGCTCAGTGTTCAGGCTCTATTCGGATTGCTCTCTCTTGTTCATTATCTCAACTGGCTCGTGGGGTGGGGGGGGTCTCTTTGGTTCGTGTCTTTTGGGGCTGGTCGCTTCGGGTAGTTCTTCTGCTGAGTACTCGGGGTTTAACTCTCCACACTGTTCACATTCAGGGAGTGTCCAACATCCTGCCAGATGGCCTGTCATTCATTATTCCTCTTTTCATGGAGTGGATAGTCAATGCCATCTCCTTCCTTTGGCTTTGCCAGACGTATGGGTGCCTGGGGGGACCCTCTTCGTGTTGGCATGGTCTCGGCATCTCCCATTGTATGTGGTGCAGTTCCTTGACTGTGAGGCCCTCATGGTGGACGCTTTAAGGCAGGACTGGTCGCGATGGGGGTTTCTGTACCTCTTTACTCCCAGTCCAGCTGTTTCTCTGGAAAAGAAAAGGCCTTAGCAGCCGGAAAAGCAGGAAGGAAGGGGGGCCCACTGGTCAGACCCAGACACTTTGGCAGGAGGAACCGGCTCGAATGCCTCCGTTGCCACCCCGTAAGGGGCATCCCCAGAGACCGCCCAAGTCTCAAAACCAACTAAACCCTGCCCCAACTCCAAAACCCTCAGACGCTTCGAAGCCGGAAGCAGGGGGAGGAGGACCAGAACGAACCACAGCAGGGGAAGGACAAGGGGGCGCGGACTGAATCAAAGTCGAAGTGAATAACACCCCTGAGTCCAGGTCCCTATAACACAAAACGGGGCAGTCTCGGGACTTTCAGGTCAGCAACCAACCTAGCGCGCTGTAGCAACCCGAAACAAGCATGCAACGACTAAGCTGCCTGCACCCAAATAGTGTCATCAGTGGACTGGGTGTACTGAGTAACAAACAAGCTACAAAACTCAAAGGATTCTGGGTCGAAGGTGTCACCAACCCAGCAGGCAGCATGACTGAGGCAGAAACGGTGAAGGTCACCTAGAGACAAGGGGACTGAGCAATTCTCAGACTCGCACAAGGTGAGAGGGGACACCCAGGGGTCGCTTCCATCAGACCTAAGCACCCCCGAGTGGTTTCCCAGGTCAAAATATTCCGTCCCTTAGACGGAACTCACACTAACGGAAGCTCAGGCAGGGTTCTGCTAACCGGCTCCCAAAGTATCCAACTAAACTGCTAAAGCTGCCCCTCTGGGACATGTACACTAACAGGGGTCTAGTGGGGGACCACCAAGATACAATCTGGGGAGACCAAAACCAAGGGGCAGAACCCCGCACCAGGCAAGAAAACACAAATAAGAGAAAAATCCCACAAGAGGACAACATACCCATGCGGAACAGAGCTGGCCACAATAAGAGGTGCCAACTAGCTGCACAGGACCTTGCGCCCCAATCAGTGATGAATACTACCCCCCTACCCAGAGGCAAACAGGGGCGAATGAAACACCTAAGTTAACTCCAAGGGTGTCCAATCACCAAGCAGCAAAAGACCTCGCAGAGGCAGCCCCCAAGGTGACTTGTGGAGATGGCCCCAATCCCCAAGGGCAGTACTTACTGGGCACCTAGGGAAGGTGACCCTAGGTACATGCAGCCTGAGTACCTGTGAATATACTCCTGGCTCACACACCACCAAGAACAGCACCACACCACAAGGCACAGGACTGGAAATTGGGAGCCAGAGTCACACGACCTTGCTAGACTCACATCAGCCACAGAACTGGGGGTATGAATAGCCAGCATGGGGGGTCTGGGGCTTCCCCTTCTCCCTCCTGGGGAAGGGGGAGCTGCGCAGACAGCAATGTGGTGACAGTTGTGATGTCGTGCTCGTTTGCTCGTTTTCATTTGGGGAGGTCTGTCTACTAGTTCGGCTTTTCAGTAGCAAGTTCTTCACCAGAATAGGGGTTTGTTTTGGGGTGCTTACCTTTCTGGGTGCCTGTTCTGGTCGATGGCAGACATAGAATTCTTCCAACCACACGTGGGGGGGGGGGGGGTTCTATAGGCAATTGCTCCTTGTACCTCTCTGAGGGGAGCCAGGTTCTTGCTCATGGTCCTCGGTAGGTCTAGAACTCCATGTGCATTGACTGATGCCAGGGTCTAATACATTCATATCAGCCTGGTTAGCTCCGGAGAGCTGAAGAGGCTCCCCACCCCCAGAAAGTACAGTGGGGCCTCAATTTACGATGATAATCCGTTCCCAGAGACATATCCTAAGTCAAAGCGATTTTTCCCATAAGAAATAAAGGGAATTGAATTAATCCATTCCCCACCCTCCAAAATATTAACTTACAAATACATTTTATACTGAATACAATTATTTTCTCTAACTACAATACAGTACATGTTTATATTACCCTTACGGAGAACTCTTGATGGCATATGGAAAATGGTGATGAGGGGGAAGGAGGAAAGGTGTTACTGTTTGGAAGGGGAGTACCCTTCCATTATAACATCAGGCAGTGATGACTTTTCTGGGATACACACACTGGCATGTTTTGTCTGCATACCACTAGGACCTGCTTGTGGCTCACTGCTTGCTTGTCTTACTAAGAATGTCTAAAGACACTTGTTTTTCCCCTACATTTTAACACTTGTCTGTAGTAAGACATCACATTGTCATTTAAAGGTCAATGCATTGGCCTGCTACAGCTTTATCTGGGTGAGTTTTTTCAACAAAACTTTGCAGTTCTTCCCATACTTCACACATTTTCTTAATGAGGAAGGGACATCCTCTACTGCCTCTACTCACAACTATTATCTTAGGTTGAACCTTACCACTGACTTTCTTGGGACCCATGGCATGATATATAATAATCAGTTTTATGTTCAAAAAGCAAAAAATCACCACAAAAACGGAATTTGTTGTAGGCATGATCGTCACTAAATGGGCAGTTCTAGTAAACTGAGGCAGGTCGACCCGCGTGACCGGGAACCACGCGCTTGGTCGACCCAAACGTGTACCAACAAATATTGTTAGTCAACGACACTATCATAAGTCGAGTTGCATTTTTCTATCAAATTTACATCGTAACTCGAAATTATCGTAAGTCGGGGCAATCGTAAGTCGAGGTGCCACTGTATACATATATACGATGTGCGCCATGCAGGTAGTGAGACCAAAATTGTATATATACAATTAGCACTGGTCAAGGATTAATGTGATATTGTGTATTATCATTATTGTCATCTTTATTGTTGTTTTTATAAGAATAATAATAAGTTGATCAGATGGCATCCTGTATAAAACAAGAAGTAGATTGCATTTTTTAAAGTTACCCCTTAATTGTTATTGGGCATAACACATTTACCAAAATTTTACTTGAGGGTCACCATCTCTAATGACATTGATGGAAACATAGGTGGCAGCTTGTCAAAGGTCTCCCCATTGTGTTTGAGGATTTTTTGAATTTTTTTGTAAATTCAATTAATGTCTTGGCATTTATGCCTTTTGACAGTTAGGTGATTCCATATCATATAACTAGGAAGTCATGGAAGGGGTATTATGAAGGCTGTCATCTAGCAGAGGACTGATACAGACTGATGATGATAAATGTAGACACTGTATATATAATGTATATATGTATTTATGTATGTATGTATGTATGTATGTATGTATGTATGTATGTATGTATGTATGTATGTATGTATGTATGTATGTATGTATGTATGTGTATGCATGCATGATAACATTAATTTGTAATTAGGGTGTAAAGTCTTTTTATATTTTTCCATAGTGTGGGGGCATATACACAAAAGTTGATTTGGGTTACACGATTCCTCTTTTATATTGAACTTAAGACCTTGCTTGCTGTAATCAAGCCTTTATTTCAGAGACTATCATTCTTCATTTAATATTTGTCAGAATTTTCAAATTAAAGTGAATGGAGATTTTATATTCTTCCAGAAAGGCTTATGTTCCTTTAGTCTTTAGGGCTCTTGTGCTTTATCCTTAGATGGATGGTGATGTATCCACTCTGCCTGTTATTTTTGAAGACCAGTACCAGCATGTAGCAGAGTTTGCCAGAAGGAGGTCAATTGTCAGCAGAAAGTCAGGTAAAAGTAATAGTTCTTATTTTAACGAAATCAAATACATAATAAAAGATTATCTCATATTTTATCCAGCTAAATATTCTGCTACTGTAATATGACATTGTATGAATGATTGATGTAATTGTTATTTAAATGGACATTTTATCATTTTTCCTGTGGAAATTTTAATTATTTATAAGGCTACACTCTATATAGTGCTCCCTCAAAAATAAAGACCTTCATATGCATAACAGATTCCTCTAAACAACAGACTGAATTTTCTACCAGATCACTCCCAACAAAACAAAATTCAGATTCTTCTCTAAAATTTTCAAAATTCTGGAAAGGCTGTTGTGAAATACATTTATCACATATAATAATTTTCAACCGGTCTTATTTTTTCTATTTTTGTGATTTTAATACAGACAGCCACTTGATTTGCGAATCTAAGTTATCCGAAAGTTCCAGTTTCCTGATTGGGGTTGGGGAGTCACGCTACACGAACTAAGTTTGGGTGAGGAAGCAGTCCGCCAAGTATTGCGCCGGCCCGGAGTGGTTAGATGGCCTAGTTTGCTCACTGACCGTGTCAAGCGTCACCACTCTTAGAATGCCTTCTACCCTGTGATGTCACAGATTCATGGCCTATTGTTCCCATTGTTTTGACTTGTCATGAGACTGAAGTGTTCATTCCATGACTTTGTTTTACATATCTGCACAATCAAGGAACATCCATGCACTATGTTGGCTCCAAATGCATGCATTGCATCAGTATTGGCTGACTGGTGGGTGGATGAATGGGTGGGAGTAAGTGAGAGAGGGTGGGGGGGGAGAATTAGTAAGAGAGAGAGGGAGGCAGTGAGGGAGGGGGGAGGTAGTGAGGGAGGGTGAGGTAGTGAGAGAGGGAGGGAGAGATGGTAGGAGGTAGGCAGGGAGGGAGGGAAGTAGTGAGGGAGGGGAGAATTAGTGAGAGGGAGGGAGATTGGCATAGAGGGAGGGAAAGGCAGGCAGGCAGGCAGGCAGGCAGGCAGGCAGGCAGGCAGGCAGGCAGGCAGGCAGGCAGGCAGGCAGGGAGGGAGGGAGGGAGGGAGGGAGGGAGGCAGGCAGGCAGGCAGGGGGGGAGGGAGGGAGGCAGGCAGGCAGGCAGAGAGGGAGGCAGGTAGGGAGGGAAGCAGGCAGGGAGGGAGAAAATGGGAGGGGGCAGGGAGGGAGGCAGGCAGGCAGAGAGGGAGGCAGGTAGGGAGGGAAGCAGGCAAGGAGGGAGAAAATGGGAGGGGGCAGGGAGGGAGGCAGGGAGAGACTGGGAGATAGGCAGGCAGGCAGGCAGGGAGGGTGACAGGCAGGCAGAGATGGTGGCAGGCAGGCAGGCAAGCACGGAGGGAGGCAGGCAGGCAGGCACAGAGGGAAGCAGGGAGGGAGGGAGGGAGGGTGGCAGGCAGGCAGGCAGGCACGGAGGGAGGCAGATAGGCAGGCACGGAGGGAGGCAGGGAGGGAGAGAGAGAGGGAGAGATGTTGAGTTGAACTACATGACCTTGAAGCAGAGAGAGCGAATGTATGGGATGTAGGAGGTTGGGGGGTTGGGGAAGGAGGGCTCAATTCGATAAGATTATCACACTCGACCTGTTAGCCAGATTTGTTTCTTAAATTCTGGATGTACATCATCATATATATTTTTGGTTACAGATTTTGTTTAGTAATATTATTAGTTTAATAATATAAAAATACTTGTTTCATGAAAGCTTTACTGTATTAGATGGAGATCCTCCAGGCTATCTCTGGCTGGCAATCTACTAAGCTAGCCACCTGGGGGAGGGAGGGAGACCAGTAGTAGTAGTGAGGGTGGGGGGGGTGGGGGGAAGGAAGAGCAGCAGTGAGGGGGTTTGAGGGAAAAGTGGCACAGGACATCTCTTATTGGTGAGTGCAAACAAAATACTGTCGCATTTATGCTATGAACGTGTCGATTTTTTCCCTAGATTTTCTGTGGGGAGCCCCTACAGCTCCTTGGAGCTTATCGGGCTAATGTATGTTATATTCGACCGGGACATTAGCTAAGGAGTTCAGACCTACCAGGGACCAGTGCCAGAACCTGGCCCCTTCAGAGAGGTTTCAGTGAGCAATGGCCCTGGAAAACCCCCCTTTGGGGGTTCAGGGCTGGCGGGGTGGGCTTCTTCCCCTGCGCTTCGTCATGTCATCTTAGTGGGGTGCATTGGACGTGGTCAATCCACCCCATCCTTCTGGGGTTCCCGTCTGCTCTATGCAGACATGGGCCTGTCAAATCTGCGGTTCTTCTGGATTTCTTCAGTCTGCACCCTGGATTCTATGCCCTCATCGAAGGACTGTTGCCTCCTGTCCGGCTTCTGTTGGGGCCGGGTGCCTGGATGGTGGCCTGGACCTACAGGTCATTTCTTGGTATGTTCCTCTCCAGTTTTCTGGGACTGGCACAGTTGGTGGTGGGGCTTCAGGCTTAATGCTTTTGTTGCCTTCCCTATTTTGTAATTGGCACTTGGTGTATTTACGCATCTTTACCGGATCTTGGTACCCTGTCTGAGTCTGCTTGGGATTCAGTGTCTGGCCTACCTCGATGACTGGCTGGTGTTGGCTCCCAGTCAGTCCGGTTGTCTGCTCGCCAGGGGTGTGGTTCTTTCCATATCACCGGGTTTGGTTTCCTGGTGATCTGGAGGCCGTTCCATCTGTTTCCATCTCGGATTCGGACCTGGCTGGGTCTTGTTTAGGGCTCTTGGGCCGCTCCTTGTCTTTCCCTCCAGAAGTGTTGCTGCGGCTGTGGTCCCGCCTTCGGCTGTTGATGAGGGGGTCCCGGGTTGCTCAGCGGCTGCTCGAGCAGTTGTGCGGGAGTCTGAACTTGTCCGTGAACACTGAATGTGTTCACGGACAGGTCATCTCTCGGCTGGGGCTTTGTGACCAGTGCTCACCAGGTCGGCTGGGGATGGTAGGGTCTGTCCGTCCGTCGGGCTAACAGCACGGTTCGGGAGTTCGTGGCTGTCTGGTTTGTGCTTTGGAGGGTTTGGGTCACTCGGTGCTCTACCATTCAGCTCCATTCGGACTGTTCTCTGGCGGTTCTTTTCCGGAACCACAGGGTTTCTCTTAGGTGTTTGATCTTTGGGGTTGGTCCCTTAGAGTGGCTCGTTTGCTGGATTCTCAAGGTTTGGCTAACCGTGAGGTTCATGTCCGGGGTGTGTCTTGCGTCCTGGTGGACAGCTGTCTCGGTTCATTCCTCTGTTCGCGGATTGGCCAGTCATCGCCGACTCGTTTCGTTGGCTCTACTGGACGTATGGACTCCTGGGCCATGGACGTCTCTGAGTCAGCGTGGTCTAGGCATCGCCCATTCTATGTGGCGCCCTTACCCGCCTGCGAGGCGTTTACGGTGGATGTCTCGGCATGACTGGTCGAGGTGGGGGTACCTGTTCCTCTTCTCCCGGTCCAGCTGTTGCTTCGGGTTCTGGCTCGATTGGAGCCCATTCCCATGAGAGTAGGCCTTGTGGTCCCTTGGTGGCTGGCCCAGCTTTATTTTCGGACGCTGCTTGATAGGTGTCTGAACTCGGGGTGTTTTCTCGCGGCTCCGCCTATTTCGGCAGGTCGGACCGGTCCTGTACGTGACTGGTTTGGCCTTCTCCTCGACTCTTCGCGTCTGGTATTTTGACGCGGGTATCACCATCTCTGTGGTGATCAGGTGGCTTTGTTGATGGTGTCCCACCTGCGAGCCTTGTCTCAGCGACAGTATAACGTTCCTGGTATTTCTATGCATTTTTTCTTGCTCTTCGTAGGTTGTCTTTTCTTTCGCATCAGGTTGTCTTGTCCTTTCTTCGGTTTTCAGGACTACAGTTTTTTTATGTTTCTTACTGTCGCCTCGTTTTGTGCAGTGCTGGTGGAGCCGCTCCGGCTTGCGTTCAGGGTGGATGTCACAGCTGATCCGTTTCGTACGCTTTTTCGTGTTTTGTTTCACCTCCGGCCTGCTCATGCGTCACCTGAGCCATCCTGGTCCTTGATCAGGGTGCCTTCTTATCTTCTCCTCAGTTTGTGGTAGCCCCTTCGGTTCAGGTTTCTGCTCTTTGGTACTGGTGGTAGGTTTGTACGTTTGCAGCCTTTCTCTGTCCTTCTGGCGATGGTCGAGACAGCTGCTTTCTGAAGGGGTTCTTGGGTTATTGATGCTTGATTGGTTCAGCTGGGGATGTGTCCTTTGTTATCTGGTTGCGCTTTTTTTTTTGCCGTTACCTGCGTACCGTGTCTGGGGATGCGCTTTGGGTTGATCCGGTTCCCCTCGTTCCCTGTTTCGGGGCTCGGGTCTCCCAGGTCGTCCGCAGAGTTTTTAAGTCTTCCAGCCTGCGGTCTGTTCTTGCGCCTGTGCTGTTCGGACATTTGCAGCTTTTGCTGCTGTGTTGGTAATGTCTAGGGCTCATTTCGGGCGCAGGGATTTAAGGGTCACACAGGTTCTTGGTCGCCCATTCTTTATGCTCGTCTGCTTCTGTGCGTTCTTGTTGCCTTAGGTCGCAGATTGCAGCGTGTTGTCTCGGCTTCGCGTTGCGGAGTTTGTGGCGGCCGCCTCCCGGTCAGTCCTTTCTTTTCCTTCTCTTTGGGTATGAAGCTCCAGGGAGCCGTAGGGGTTCCCCACAGAAAACCAGCGTTGAATGTAATGAAACGCCATTTTCTGGGTGAGCCCCGGAGGCTCCCTGGCAACCCTCCCTCCCACAGGTCGGCGGCTTTTTTCAAGTTGGTTGAACTGAACAGGTTCCGAACTGAACCGAACGGCAGCCGGCACGGTAGGTCTGGGGCTCTCCCCCCTCCCCCTCTTGGAGTGGGGAGGGCTGTGTGGACGATCGGCATGGCAGTAAAGTGTGATGTTTGCTTGTTTGCTTGTTTGCTTGTTTCCTTGGGATTGTAGGGAGTTTCTACCTCTCTGTTCGGGTTTTTGTTTTAGTTTTTTAGCATGTGGGGTTTGTTTTATTATGCCTATCTTTCTGGGTGCTAACCCCGGTCAATGGCAGATAAGGAACACCCCAACCACAAGGAGG